AGGAAAAAATATAATAAAACAAATCTAATTATCCTATCTATTACATTTTTGAGATATTTAAATGCCTCTCGAATCATTATAAAAATTAACTAAAACATATATAAGAAAATTTAAATGAATATTTAAATCAAATAAATAAAGCATATAAAAATATATAAACATATAAGAACACGTAAGAGCACGTAGTTGACATTGAAATAATAATAATAGGGGTACCTCCCTTTTGAAGTGGTGACCTAATGGAATTACATGACCCTATTTATACTCAAAATGAACAAAAGAATCATGGTACCAATTTAATTGAAAAATAATAATAATAATAATAATAATTAATCTTAATATGTCAAATGCATAGCAATTTAAGAATATCTAAAATTTACAATTTAAATATATTCAAAAGTGACATAATTAGCTATTAAAGAAAAGAAACAATCGTAATAAAGATAAACAAACTCACCAGGGACTGAATTACAAAAAATTGAAAAACTTTTGAGGTCAAAAATATAATTTTCCAAAGTTTAGGGGTCAAAATTAAATGAAAGATACAATTTAAGGACCAAAATGCAATTAATTTAAGAACCAAATTGAAAGAAATTTAAAATGTTTTGAGCCATAGTGAAAATACTTGAAAGTACAGGGACTGATATGCAAAAAAAATTTCTTATTCCTTAACAAATCAGACCACCGGGCCATTCTCTATTTTTTCGGGCCCAAGGCCATCCGGCCCAACCGACAGTCCCGGCTAAAATACACAGGCCGGCGCCCTTTTTTATCACTCAAACCCAACCAAAAAAAATACATGGGCTCTGACCTCCTAACCCAATCAAAACCCAAAAGAAATAAACCAAAATCCATTCGCAAAACCCAACCATAAAAATAAACTCAAACCCACCAGAAAAAAAAAAAAACATTAGCCCATTCTTTTTTCTTTCTTTTCCTTTCTTTTCTTTTTTTCTTTCTTCTTCCTCCCCTTCTTCTCTACCAAGGAGCTGAAGCTCCCTTCTGGCTAGCGGCTATGGTGGCTGCCGGTGGCGGTCGCCGACAACCTTTCCGATCACCAAATTTGACCAAAATACATCCTTTCATTCGATTTTTTGCATAGATTCTATTTCGGAGTTAGTTTTTACAAAAACTAACTCGAAGGTGGCCAAAATGCCAAAAAATAGCCCAATTTTTTATTCTTTTAAAACCTTTAAACCTTCACCAAAAATTATGCCAAAATGGTGCATTAAGTCAAAACAGCACCAAAAATGAAGAAAATTATTTTAATGCTTATAAGGCTCAAAAACTCCAAAATTTTGGATAACTAAGCATTTGTAGGCTTTGTACTAGCTGATAGTCATCCATTGCTGGCAAAAATTAAGCACAAAAGATTCACTAATTTGATTTATTTTTCATTTTGGCATTTTCGCAAACACTTGACATGCATTCATAGGCCCGTTTCTTTTTTCTTAATTTTGTTCATGGCTTATTCCGAAAAAAATACAACAACATCAGCAACCAATTTATTTCACAAAACCCACAAGATTATTGATCATCAAAGCCAAAGAAAAGAAGAAAAAAACCGAACCAATTTGCATTAAAATAAGGATCAACTAAATCTTTGCCAAATTTCCAGGAGCTATATCGTTGGAATCAAAACAAAAAATAAAAAGAGAGAGTTACAATGGTTTTATAATGGAGATTATTTTGGCAGTGGTGGTGGTAATGGCACTAGCAGCAAGCTCCCAAGCTTCCCCTTTTTCATCTGTGGCTTTCGTCTATCGAGGGAGAGGCTGAGAGAGTGAGGAAGATCTCTTTCTTTTGTTCTGTCCTTTTTTTTTGTGTTAGGAGCGGCCGAGATATTCTATTGGGAGAAAAAGTGGGGAGTTGGCTTCTTGTCAATCCAAGGTTCAGGATGGAGCCTAGAGATGTCAAAAGGGGTTTAGTTTCTTTCAAATCATGGTTTCTTTTTTTTTTTTTTCCTTTTTTTGTTTCTAAGATAAACCTACAAAAATGAGACAAAATATACTTAAAATGTAAGAAAATAAATGACTCATCAAATAGAAAATATTCAAGAAAACACAAAATTTGACAAAAATTTGGTGTTTACACAACCTAGATTAGAAGAAAGCAAACCCAAACTGTAAAAGTTACAAGCCCAACCTCGCACGCCCAAAAGAAAACTAGCATCCCTTTTTTGGATTTTGGAAAAATTTCAGCCTAAGTGGCTAGAATCTCCCAAGAAACTGAAACCAACTATTTTTTAAATAGAATTTTTGCATAAATCAAGTCTTCACGTCATCCTAAACATGCTCAAACCATCAAAATTAACCTACAAACATCACAAAATCACAAACTAAGGCCTAACCACAAGAATAAAAAAAGCCAACTTTCAAACCCATGTTTCTTGCTCAATCCCAATGAAAACTCGAATAAACCATGTCTACAAATTTTACGGGTTATGGAGAGTAAAACCATCACAGAAAAACGAAGCCAAAGTTAACAAAATGAATTTTGCCATTTTCAGCACAAGAAAACGCTTCAAATTTTTATTTTTTGTTTTTGTTGTTTTAAAATCGCAAATTTTATTTTGACATGCACTCTAGGCTACAATGAACCTATTTAAACCATGTTGAATCATTAATCCAACGTTGGACTTATATGTGAATAATTATGAGTTGCAAACTGTCAAATAAGATTAAATCCAATTAAAGTGATCAAATATGGTTTGGATTTAATATATCTAATAGGATGTGGGCCTTTAATGAGTAGAGATTTAAGGGCTCCTATTTTTATGATGGGCTGAAATAGGGTTCCAAAAGATAACAGGAATGTTACCTATAAATAGGGTTATGGTCCCCAGGTCACACGTATCATTCTATTTGTCGTATTTTCTAATACCACAAAATATAACTCTTCCCTGATATTCTATCATCAGGAAAGATACTAGAGAGCTACTAAAGGACTCTCTCAAGAATCGACGGATACGTGTTGACCTGGAAGGCCACCCCAATACCCTTGGAAATTCATATATCAGTTTGTGGATATGAATTCAGGTACACTTCCACAATTTTATCGTTAACTTATTTCTTAATAATCGCCATAAGATCTTGGGTTACATAGGTGATGGTTTTCACCAAAAGGTTAAATATAAATAACCGTCCTAACAAGTGGTATCAGAGCTCATATGGTGGATTATTAGGAAATAATTTTGTTTTAGTAATTCATAGTTTTTTTTATTGAAAAATAAAAACTATGATTAATTTAGTTTTTCGTTTGTACGGCTAAGTGTTTCGGATTTCATGTTTCGGCTTTGCCATTTACTTTTGGAAGTCTTGGTTGCTGATGGCATGAATTGATGTGATAAACAATTGCCGTTCTATTTGCATGTCGTATGAATTCATCCATAATGTTATCTTTATGCTTTGGTCCAATTACATCATATGATTCGTGAATTCGGTCAACACTTGAATCCAGTTGACACGTTTATATCTTGAATATCAAAATTGAGTGGCTGATTTTCCTTGCCACGTAAGTTGTTGAAGTCCATTGGCACAAGTTCTTGATTGCTTAGTTTGTTCTTATCGTATGATTGGCTTGTTGCTCAACTTTACATGCCTTGTACTTTTGATTTTGGATTGGATATGCGCATGATTACTGTGGTCAAAAGCTCATCTTTAAATGGCCAAAAGTTTCTCATGTAAATTATTGACATAATGAGGCACAAACAATATACTTGGGACCCACATATTTATATGGTTTATGTCTTAAATCTTGGGTACACAATTTTCTTGTGTTGATTCAGCCATGATTTATATTTTTCTTTTGACTTGTTTCGGTGTATAAGAGAATAAACATGCATATTTTTGTGTTAAGAAATTAGGATTTTTTTTTAATTTAAGTGAACCCTAATAAAGTTAATAAGATATTTAAACCTTATAAAGTCCATATATTAGACCCACTAAATATACAGTTTTATAAGACATTATGGACTTCAAGAAATATTTTGGGCTTGCATGATAAATTTGGATTAAATTATGGATATGGACTTTTAGTCCAATAAGTCTTGTTCCAATTTTGAATGGTTTGACCATGTTTGACCATTTTTTACCAGAGTTGACTAGAGTTTACTTTGATCAAAATTTTTGTTTAATTCGGATAATTTTAAATTTAAATATTGGTATAAATATATATATTTTAGAATAAATTAATTGAAATAATATGCCACCAAAGTGACCTCTATTATGAAAATTAATTTATTTTAAAATAAAACTAATTTGGTACTTGAAATTTTATGAATATTGATCGGCCCAAAGGAAGGTCAATATTTAATAAAATTACATCTGCACTTGTGATAATAAATACGTGATAATTATTTGGATTTTACATGTGATTTATAAATTGGTCCAAAGAAAAATTTATTTTTTGACATGTTTTTATTATCAGTATTTATTATTGTACCAAGGTATCATTTAGAAGTTTATATTTTTGTCCAAAGACAAAATATTAATGGAACGTCGGTATTTTGAGATGGGATTACCTTTACTTAAATTTATTATTGTTTTGGTTTATGTGAGTATATTTTAATTATTTAATATTTTCTGTTCAATTGCAAATGATCTTACGAATATTACTACCAACATCAATAATATTCCTATGTTGAATGGCACAAACTTCAAGTTCTGAAAAAAAAAATCTCTTGATAGTACTTGGAGTAATAGATCTCGACCTTGTGTTAAGGGTAGAGCTATTAAACGAGCCGAGTCGAGCTCGAGTATAGGACAATCGAGCTCGACTCAAACCTCTAATCGAGCTAACTCGAGCTCGCTCGATTAATTATTCGAGCTTCACAAGGCGCTCGAGATCGACTCAATGTACAGGTAGAAAACTGAAGTTTGGGCTCGAACTCGAGTTTGAACTCGAGCCGAGCTCATTGAGCTCGCGACAAACTCGAGCTGAGTTTTCGAGCTCGAGCTCGTTTACGAGAGACAACATATCAGGTCCTGGCAACACTCATATTTAGCCTAATAAAAGAAGATACACATTCCCTGATTTATCATCTTCAATTCGACAAACCATGCCAAATGACAATACAAGGCAGAATCTAATACTTCAACAAGCTCGAATATATAAAGCCAGAACCTAAAGCTCCTCCATCTCCATCTAATTGCTGTCCTCCTTCATTGCCATCATCTTCTATCATTTCTATCTCTTCTTCACTCATCTCATCTGTTCTTTTTTCGTTGTAGTTCAATTGTTCCACGTCTTCATTATTTTGCTCCATCACAGGACTTGATGATGAACCTTGAAATGAGTTGAATGGAGAGCTGTACATTCCTTAATCAAAACACATTTAATAACAAATACAGATTCTGATTAGCCAAAACAGAAATTTAGAATAACTTTTCTAAGAAATAAGGTACAAAAGTAATAAAATAGATTCCAAGAAATAATGCCCACTTCAAGCCAATTTTAACATTTCTTTAACTTGTTCCTATCTCAATTCTCAAGCTTACATTTAGATTAATGAAATAACAGAGAAAAGCTCTTAAAAACTCAACCAGAACTCAGTATAGTGGCATTTCCACTAAACTAAATATGAATAGTGTCATCTGAAGATGGTACACAATTCACATGCGCTCCAGTGGTCTGACTATGGGCAACCATTTCAAATGAAACTCAACCAGATCATCAGAAATCGAAAAGCAAAGCAGTTTATTATCATACTTTGGTAGAGGTCCAATTGTACGTTAGTACTTCATATATATTGAAAGAAAGCTATTATGCAAGTCCATAAACAAATAGCTGTAGTTACTTTTATGTACGTTAGTTATCATCCATTCTTTTATTAACATATTACCACAAATAACCCAAAAAGAGTATAAAAGATAGCTTTTTATTTGGAAACAGGATATTAAAAATGTTAGTCTACTGTTTCAAATAGTGAAATAATGTTAAATAGCAAAAGATAGAGTTATTTCACACTAAAATAATTTTGATTTTATTCCCAACCAAGAAAAATAACGTTGACACAAAACAACACCTATAAATTATTTCGTTTCCTCACCACTCAAGTGAAGGTAACCAAATTTGACAAAAAAAAGTGAAGGTAACCAAAAAGTAGTTTAGTGTTAGCGTTTTGGGCATCAGCATCCCAGTGCCCAGTGAGCCCTTTAAATTTGGTTAGAAAGCCCAATTCTCCCTCCAACGAACAACTCGAATGAAACTCAACCAGATCATCAGAATAGATTGCTAGCTAATTTTCAAGAAAGGAAAAAAAAAAGTGATTAAAAAAGGAATTAAGTAGAAGGAAATCAGAGGAACTGGTACCAATTAAACACACATCTCTTAGCACAAAAAGAAAAACTAATTAAACATACTTGTTGGTATCTTTTGAAAAGAATACAATTTGGAGATGCCAACCTATGATCAGGAAATTGCAAAAATTGAGAAGAAATCGTTACCAGAATGCAGCGAATCGGGATATGGTAGAAGCCTCTAGCTCTACCGAGGTGGCTCGGTATGGCACTGCTCACGGATTCACGAGAAAGAGGATGTGGCTGCTCCGTATATTGAGTCAGTGACGGTGGCAAGAATGGAGGATGCGGCTATGGTGAGAATGAAAGGTGCGGTGTGCGGCTGCGGTGAAAATAAAGGGTGCTGGCGTGCGGCTGCGGCTGCGCCTAGCGGTGAGAATGCAAGGTGCTGCTGCGGGGTGCGGCGTGCGGCTGCGGTGAGAATGGAAGGTGCGTGCGGCTACGGCTGCTCCTGGCAGTGAGAATGGAGGGTGCGGGTGGGGCATGCGATGTGCGGCTGCTGTGAGAATGGAAGCTGCGCGGTGCAGGGTGAGAATGGAGGCTTGAAGAGTGATGGGCTGACGGTTGTGGGATGGGAAAGAGTAAGACCAAAAGAGGAAAGAAAAATTAGGGCTACAGACGGGAGATGACTTTGGGTTAGAGTACCACATATATATTAAAATGATGAAAATGCCCCTAATCTTCGAGTCTAACGAGCTTAAACGAGCATTGAGTACAGCTCGAGCTCGGATCGTTTTTCTCTGTAAACGAGCCGAGCCGAGCTCTTATCGAATCTCACGAGTTGCCCGGTTCGATTAACAGTACTAGTTAAGGGATGATTCTCTCCTACCTCTTACAGATCAGAGTATCTCTAATAAAAAAATTATAATGAGAGGTGGGAGAAATCGAATCGCTTGTGTCTGATGATCATTAAAAAGGCCGTTCCAAAAGCATTTAGAGGAACAATGTCATAAACGACAATAACCGTTAAAGAGTTCTTTCAGAACATTAAAAAAAGTTTTGTCAAGAACGAAAAGACTGAAATTAATACGCTCTTGACTCACCTAGTTTCAATGAAATTTAGTGGTAAAGGTAATATCAGAGAGTACATTATAAAAATGTCTCATCTTGTTCCAAAATTAAATGTACTTAAATTAACACTCTCTGAAGAGTTATTGGTGCATTTGATTTTAATATCTCTTTCTACACAGTTTAGCCAGTTTAAGATGAGTTACAACTGTCAAAATGAGACTTGATCTTTAAATAAACTCATCTCACACTGCGTAGAGAAAGAGGAAAGGTTGAAACAAGACCAGATAGAAAGTGTCCATCTGATATCAACAACTAATAATAAAAGTAAGGGACTTAAGAAAAAGAAGGAAAAAGGAGCTGCAGGTACAGCGCTACAAAAGAAACAATAAAAGAAATCAGATGATTAGGGAAAGAATAGTTGTTTCTTCTGTGGAACTGAAAGGCATAAAAAGAAGTATTGCACCAACTATCATGCTTGACGTGCTAAAAAAAGTATGCTTCTCAATTTGATTTGTTCTAAGGTTAATTTAACTCCAGTATCTAGACACATATGGTAATTAGATTATGGTGCAACAACTCATATCAGTGTATCTATGCAGGGTTGCCTGAATTGTGGAAAATCTAATGATAATGAAAGATATATCTACGTGGGCGATGGCAAAACAGTTCAAGTTTAGACAATTGGAGTTTTTAGATTATTGTTAAAGATCCAATTTTATTTGGATCTTAATGAGACATTTGTTGTACCGTCTTTTCGACGGAATTTAATTTCTATTTCTGCTTTGGACAAATTTGGTTATTTTTGTTCATTTGGAAATGAAAATTTTGAATTGTTTCATGATTCAAAATTGGTTGGTTCTGATTCTTTAATACAATACGATAATCTATATTTAATTAATACAATTGTCTCATTTAATGAATCTCTACATTTGAGTACCAAAGGAATAAAAAGAAAATTAACCAATAAGAATTCAGTTGCATTATGGCACAAGAAATTGAAATATATCTCCAAACGGAGAATGGAAAGGCTTGTATCAAATGAAATTCTCGATCCCTTGAATTTTTCAAATTTTAATGATTGTATTAACTGTATAAAGGGGAAACAAACCAATAAAAGGAGATTTGAAACCAATAGGTCCTTAGACGTCTTAGAACTTATACATACAGATATTTGTGGACCATTTTTCATATCTATTTGGAATGGTCAACAATATTTTATAACGTTCATAGACGATTTTTCAAGATATGACTACATATATCTCATTTCTGAAAAGTCACAGTCACTGGACGTGTTCAAAAATTTTAAGGATGAAGTTGAGAATCAACTCAATAAAAGAATTAAAAGCGTCAGATCTGACCGTGGTGGTGAGTACTATGATAGATATGACGATTCAGGTGAACAACGTTCAGGACTATTTGCTAAATACCTAGAGCAATACGGTATCGTCCCACAGTATATACTATGCCGAGTTCACCCACTATGAATGGTGTAACTGAACGACGAAATAGAACACTTAAAGACATGGTAAGGAGTATGATATGTCATTCTACCTTACCAGAGTCACTCTGGGGAGAAGCACTTAAGACTGCAGCATATATTCTTAATAGAGTTCCAACTAAATCAACTATCAAAATCTCTTATGAGTTTTGGACATGGAAAAAATCCAGTTTAAAGCATTTACACGTTTGGGGGTGTCCAACTGAAGTAAGGCCTTACAGGTCAAATGAAAAGAAACTAGACTCAAAAACAGTTAGTTATTATTTTATTAGATACTCTTAAAGATTCAGAGGTTACAAGTTTTATGATCCCATAACTAAATCAATTTTTGAGATAGAAAATGCCTGGTTCTTTGAAGATGTCGAGTTTGGGAGAGAAAATATAGTAAAGGATATTGTCTTTAAAGAGGAACATATTAATATTCTCACAAGTGTCATTGATCTTACTCAAGATCCTATTTTTGAACAAGATCATGACATGACAAATCAAGACAATGTCGAAGAACAAACTGTTATAGAAGAACAAAATCTTCCTCTCCAAGAACCAGTGCCATTAAGAAGATCCACTAGAGAAAGGAGAAATGCAGTGGCAGATGATTATATTATATTTCTCCAATAACATGAAGATGACACTGGATTGATGGAAGATGATTCGATCAACTTCTGTCAAGCCATAAAAAGTTCAAATTCTCAAAAGTGAATCGATACCATGAATGAGGAGATTAAATCCATGAAAAAAATGATGTTTAGGATCTTGTCCCATTGCCAAAAGGTGCGAAACTCATTGGTTGTAAATGGATATTTAAAATCAAGAGAGATTCGAAAGGTAATGTGGAAAGATACAAAATTCGGTTTATCGTTAAGGGATTTATACAAAAATAAGGTATCAACTATAAAGAAACCTTCTCTTCGGTCTCTTCAAATGACTCTTTTAGAATTATCATAGTATTAGTGGGGCGTATTTCGATCTTGAGTTATATCAGATGGATGTAAAGACAGCGTTTCTCAATGGTAACATTGATGAGACAATTTATATGGTACAACCTGAAAACTTTGTATTAGGAGATCCAAAAGCTTAAAAAATTCATCTATGGGTTCAAACAAGCATCTCGATAATGGTATTTCAAATTTAATCAAGTGATCATCTCATTTAATTTTGAGATAAATTTAGTAGATAATTGCATATACCATAAGTTCTGTGGAAGCAAGTATATTTTTCTGGTATTGTATGTTGATGACATTTTGCTTGCCAGCAACGATATTGGTCTATTGCATGAAACCAAGAAATTTCTATCTAAAAATTTTGAAATGAAAGATCTTGGTAATGTATCTTTTGTGTTAGACATACAAATACACCGGGATCGATTTCGGAGTATTTTAGAACTATCACAAAAGGGCTATATCGAAAAGGTTCTAAAAAAATATGACATGTAAAATTGTAAATCAGGCAACACTCCCGTGGCTAAAGGAGACAAATTTAGTTTTGAACAGTATGCTAAGAATACTTTTGAGGAAAAAAAATGCAAAAGATTCCTTATGTGTCAGCAGTAGGGAGTCTAATGTATATTCAAATATATACATGTTCGGATATTGCGTACATTATTGGAATGTTGGGTAGATATTTAAGCAATTTTGGATTAGATCATTGGAAAGCAACCAAACGGATCTTGCGGTATTTGCAGAAAATAAAATATTACATGCTCACGCATCGGAAGTCAGATGAGTTAGAGATCATTGGGTATACTGATTTCGATTATGCTGAATGCCAAGATACTATGAAGTCAACATTAGGTTATATCTACTTGTTGGCTAGAGGTATCATATGTTGGAAGAGTATTAAACAGTCCCTCATAGCATCTTCTATTATGGCTGCAGAATTTATAGCTTGTTATGAGGCATTCAATCAAGAGATTTGGCTGTAAAATTTCGTCACAGGATTACGTATAGTGAATAGTATTGAAAAATCATTCAAATTATTTTATAATAATAAATCAGCAGTCCTATATTCCAATAATAACAGGAGTTCGACGAAATCTAAACATATAGATATCAAGTTCTTGGCTGTTAAAGAAAGAGTACAGAGTGGGCAGTTATTGATAGAGCATATCGGGACAAACTCCATGGTTACGGATCCGCTTATTAAGGGATTGCCACCCAAAATGTTTCATGAGTATACTGCTTGTATGAGTGTCATGTTATTAAATGATGTACAGTTTTAGTAGGAGTTTAATATTTTAAATGCTCTTATGATACTTTTCGGTTATTAATGATTTAATGATATTTTATGGATAAATAAAGTCTATATTTATTTACATCCTGACTTTGGTATGGTTTGATTTCATAAAATTTAAGATAGACCAATTGAAAATAGGCATGTTTTGATCACATTACATGAAATTTCTATGCTACACATCCACATCATGATTCATGCCATTCAATTATATCGATATATGTGACCATTGATGGGTCGAGTTACTAAATTGTAACAAAGACTGCTTTGATCCTATATTGGTGTGATTGATGGATCGAATTGGTTACAGATACATTTTAGCAATGACAGTAAAATTGATCTCATACGGTTAATTGCGAAACATAATTATAAGGTTACACAAATAGTCCAAGTGGGAGATTGTTGGATCATTAATCTAACATTGGACTTATATGTGAATAATTATGGATTGCAAACTGTCAAATAAGGTGAAGTCCAATTAAAGTGATCAAATATGGTTTGGACTTAATATATCTAATAGGATGCGGGCCTTTAATATGTAGAGACTTAATGTCGAGTTACTAAATTGTAACAAAGACCGCTTTGATCCTATATTGGTGTGATTGATGGACCGAATTGCCTACAGATACATTTTAACAATGACAGTAAAGTTGAGCTCATATTGTCAATTGCGAAACATAATTATAAGGTCATACATATAGTCCAAGTGGGAGATTGTTGGATCCTTAATCCAACGTTGAACTTATATGTGAATAATTATGGGTTGCAAACTGTCAAATAAGGTTAAATCCAATTAAAGTGATCAAATATGGTTTGGACTTAATGTATCTAATAGGATGTGGGCATTTAGTGTGTAGAGATTTAAGGACTCCTATTTCTATGATGGGCTGAAATAGGGTTCTAAAAGGTAAGAGGAATGTTACCTATAAATAGGGTTATGGTCCCCAGGTCACACGTATCATTCTATTTGTCGTATTTTTTAGTACCACAAAATATAGTTCTTCCTTGATATCCCATCGTCAGGAAAGATACCAGAGAGATATTAAAGGACTCTCTCAAGAATCAACGAATATGTGTTGACCTGGAAGGCCACCTCAATACCCTTGGAGATTCATATATCAGTTTGTCAATATGAATTCAGGTACGCTTCCGCAATTTTATCGTTAATTTATTTCTTAATAATTGCCATAAGATCTTGGATTACATAGGTGATGGTTTTCACCAAAAGATTAAATATAAATAACCGCCCTAACAAACCATTCATTTATCGCGCAAAGCAAACAAAGAAGAAAAACAAATGAAGCTTTTGGTTTGTTTTCAAAGCCACAAGGCTCATAAGATCAAGAAAAAAGCTCGCTCAAGATCATGCCACCAAGGGTCTTAGGCACTACCTAAGTCAATTTTTGAAGTTAATTCCAGAAACGGTGGAAAGTGGAATCAAATGCCACTCTGATTTGTTCTTCGTGGTATATTGTTGAGTTCCTAGGAAACAAGAGATGATGATCCTTGAACTTTAGGCATTAATTTGAAGTTCCTCTGGTAACTTGTTAAGGATGGTTAAAGAACAAAGGAACTCTACAGTATGTGTTACAAAAGTGCAGATTAAAACAAGGGATAATTTCAGAAACCTCCCCTGAGGTTTCTGACAATTTCACTGGACTCCCTTGAGATTTAAAAATTATACTTACCTCCCTTGATTTGATAGTTTTAGTAATAAAACCTTAAAATAATATTGACTTGGTTAATTTTTTAAATGAATACCCAAAAAAATGCCCTTATTTAATGAGTTTTAATATATTTTCCTATATAATTATAAGATTATCCAGTATAATTATAAGAAAAAAGTGCCAAATTTTTCATGTCCATACCTACTATTTAATATACAACTATAATAATAATTTTATCACTATGATAGGATACTTTTGATGATACTTTATTATGGATATAGATTTATAAGATATAAAAGAAAATGTTAAAATAATTCATTTAGAGTTTATGAATTTTTCGAGTAGTGGGATTATTATAATTTGGCAGTGGTTTTTGGCCATTTCTTTTTGATTTATTGTTAATTTTAGTACCAAAAAATAGAAAACAAAAATCAGTAAAAATATTAGATTACATATAAAATTAACTCTTAAAAAAATTATTGGTTTGATATTTGGTTACAATAAAAACTAAAAACAATAAGAAGGAATAAGAAAAAAAAGGAATAAGAAGGAAAACAATGAAAAGTTTATGAATTTTTTGAGTAGTGAGATTATTATAATTTAGTAGTGATTTTTGGCCATTTCTTTTTGATTTATTGTTAATTTTAGTACCAAAAAATAGAAAACAAAGATCAATAAAAATATTAGATTACATATAAAATTAACTCGTTAAAAAAATTATTGGTTCGACATTTTGTTACAATAAAAATTAGAAAAAATAAAAAGGAATAAGAAAAAAAAGGAATAAGAAGGAAAAAAATGAAAAAATAATTTTAAAACTCATTCTAAGTATAAGCATACCAAATAAGGGAATTTCATTAAAATATTTAAGGATAAAATTATCATTTTAAATGATAAGGGAGGTTTGTATAATTTTTCAAACCTCAAGAGAGCTCAGTGAAATGGTCAGAAACCTCAGGGGAGGTTTATGAAATTATCCCTTAAAACAATGTCGGAAAATAGTTGGGTAGATTTGGAGAAACGACATTGGAAAGTTGATTAAACGACCAAGCTAGTACAATTCAGAGCAAGGGTTGGTGTTTTCCTTATTTTCTCTTAAGCAGCACCATTTTCTCTTGCCTTAATTTTCACACAAAAGCAGCTTTATATCAAGGGCTAAATGAATGCAAAAGAAACCTGAGAAAAACTTATCACAAACCCTCGAAAGAGGAAGTTGAATCTAGCATGTACCAGTGTCCTTTTGCCAAGTTGAATTTTTGTCAATTTGATCTTGATGGGAAAAATCTACTTTGAGGTAGGGATACATTTCATTCCCAAATTTTTAGATGTACCATATTTAGTTTATGAATTAATTATTTTTTTTACATTAAGTCCAAAAATGGTAAATTACTTAATTTGGATGGAAAAAGTCACGTGTTTGGCACGTGGCCGTTAAGTAAAAATAACTTTTCAATTAAAATTAATGGTCAAGTCAATCTTCTTCATCCAAATTGAATATTTTACCCTTTTTGAACTAAATGTGGTCCAAAATAATTAATTTATATACTAAATGTGGTGCGTCTAAAAGTTTGGGGATGAAATATGTCTCTAACTCAAAATTTAAGGAGAAAAAGTGAATTTTTCCCTTATCTTGATTTTTCTTGCTGAAATTGACGGGGTTGAATAAGCACGCTGTCAGCCACTCTTTCACAAGAAAATCGCTGACCATTGTTGGCCACTCTGTTAGCCACCTGCCTTTAGTTTCGACCATCTGACAGGCTTCAAGCGACAAAGGCAAATTGAACTTTTCGGCCACCTACTTAACCATCGGGCATTCGAAGTGGAAGAAATCAATTAAAGAATTGTTTATTTGGATAGTGTTTCGGCCACCCTCTCTGGACTCAACCAGAGGGGCTAGTTTTTTTAAACATCTAAAGCAAGACCGTTGGAAGATAGTTTGGACTAAATTTTTATTGCATGCAAGTCATGAAGTTTGAAACTGTGTTTTTAAACTCGAACCGGATCAGTCAGGTCGAACCGGGAACCGGCCAAGTATCCAGTCCGAGTTGCTCTAAAAAACTGAATGTTTAAAACTCGGTCAAACCCGATAAAAAATCGGATTTGACGGGGTTTGACCGGCAAACCGAATAAACCGATTTGATACAAAGCCTTCTCTTTCTTTTTTGCTCTTCTTTCTTACAAACCAGTGGTGGGATCTTGGTGGGCTCGATGGAAAGATATAATGGGGCCTCTTAATTGAAGCAGGGATCTAACATGACATGCGCAGCAGAGTTGGAGACCTCAGCCACTAAGTCCTACTGCCCAAATTTTTTTTTTGAAAGGTCAAAGCAATTTGAATATTATGTTTTGGCTCCTAAGTTGTTAAAACTTATTAATATATCTCAAATATTTCATACTATATAAATGTTGTCCTAAAGTCTAGAGTTATTTTTCAATCAAATTCATAATTTTAATTATAAACTTGTTAATGTTCATTGAATAATATATATTGCTACTTGATCATTCTAATTTTTTTGTATTTTCTTGTTAAATATATTTGAAGCATCAAATATATATATAAATATACATGTATTAATATTAACATGTTCTTAAGTATTTTACATACAATATTTTAATTTTTAAATAATTTTTATTTATGACATCATCCGGTTCAACTCCGATCGAACCCATTGATCCCTGACTCCTAAGGACAACCGAATCGATGCCCGGCTCGAGTCTGAAAACATAGGTTTGAAATAAATAAAACTCTGTACCTACATTTATTCAACCTTTTGAGTGATTGTATTAGAAAGGGAAATTTGCCAAATTGGTCCCTAATATTTTCACAAAAAACTTTTTTAGTCCATTACATTTAAAATCAGCCATAATAATTGCTAACACATAAATTATGTGCCAGTTTGGTCCTAATGCTCGTATTTGCTCCTTTTTCCGGCTAAAAATAGCACACCAGCATAATTTAAGGGCAAAATTGAAAACTTTCATTAAATCATAATTTTGCAACCCTCAAACTCTTCCACCGCTTCTTCAATTGGTTCTCAGCCTACTGCTACTTCATAATTTGTTCTTCTTGTTTATTCTTGAATTCCAACTGTAGTTTCCATTCTTCTTTTTGCTTAAATCCCAGCTTCCAATTTGTATTTTCATATTTTGTGGTGGTGTAGAAAAGAGCTGAGGAAAAAAGTGAATCATCATCATCTTACCGGTAAGAGTTTGAGGGATGAGTAGGCTGAGAACTGGGATTTGTATTTCCAATAAGAATTTCTCCATCTCCAAATATCCTAACATTAGTGGCAAAAAATGCATGAAATCCAAAACAGCTCTTTAACTGCATGCAATGACAAAAAAATCTCATGAATAACAAAGATCAAACGGGTATAAATAATTTAATACAGGTGAAAGTGCAATAAATTAAATGGATATCTGAAGGCATATCAGAGAGGAAAATAGTACCTTGTTAAGGTCAAGAGCTTTAAAAGCCTCTTCTGCTTTTTCCAACCTCTCTTTCTCTTTAGGCAAATTATCTCGAGCTAATTTATTAAAGAAGCCCAAGATGGGATTATCACTTGTTTCCCGGTTAAGCTCCTTTAGCTTCCTATCGGTCCTCTTCTTTTCTAACTTTATAGCAGCCTCAATAGATGGATTCCGCATGAACTTCTTGAAGTTCTCATCACTTTTCCAGTCCAATTCTTGCAGCTTCTCTTTCTCTTCCTTCTCCGCATCGGATTCAGCCTCAGGTTTGGACTCAGTTCCACTTACTCCGCTCTCTCCACTTAACTCACCTTCCAAACTCAAATCTTTCTTCTGGGGTTCCTCATTTTTAGGCTCTTCTGATACCACAGCTACTGAAGAAGATGATGATGATGATTCACTTTTTTCCTCAGCTCTAACATAAAAATATGAAAATACAAATTGGGAACTGGGATTTAAGTAGGCTGAGAACCAATTGAAGAAGCGGTGGAAGAGTTTGAGGGATGCAAAATTATGGATTAACGAATGTTTCCGATTTTGCTCTTGAAATTATGTCAGTGTGCTATTTTTAGCAAAAAAAAAAGAACAAATACGAGCATTATGACCAAACTGGTTCATAATTTATATGTTAAGAACTATTCTGACTGATTTTAAATGTTAGGGACTAAAAAAGTTTTTTGTGAAAATGTTAGGGACCAATTTGGCAAATTTCCCTATTAGAAACACTCTCATTTGTAATTCTTGTGAGGTTGAAAAAAAGAGTGTTATTTAAATAGAAAATGAGAAATACATTTGTATCAAGGAGATGTTTACTTATGAGAGTAACACAATCTTTAATTCAAACAAAAGTGAGCCACTCTTGTACAATTAATTGGTCATTGTCTCATCAAATTTTGAAAAGAGAAGAGACACTTAGTGAAGAAATAGCTAAACTTGACGAAACTTGGGAGTAGGGGTAGAATTCAAGAAGGAAGTCGATCCACTATAAATTTGGTTAGCATCCCTTTAATCTCTTGTTTCTTTTCTCCTAACTTATTTGTGTGCATTAATTGCAATATTTTTCCTTGCTATCTTATTTGCGTAAGTGTTTCTCAGTTAGGTAATTTGGTTAGTAAAAATTGGTTAAAATTACTTTTAGCTGCATGATTTTTAATTCAATCTGATGGACCCTGATCCTTCTTAAGTTGTCTTTGAGTCTTACAATGTGTACTCCTTGAGTTTAGGAGAAATAGAAAAATATTTCCACAGATTTACTAGTTAATTATAAAGAGCAATTTATGTTTAGCATAATCAAATAATGATAAAAAAAATTATAAATTGTTTTCTTTGAAGCAAATGATAAAATCAAAAAAGGAAAATTGTAGAGAAAGTGTCTACTTTAGTGGGTAAATATATGGATTCAGGCTATTGATTGTAGTAAATACTTTTTTCGAAAGGATATTTTGCAAGATATTCTTGTATGGGAACCAAATATACATTTTGTCTTTAGTGTGCAAATATGATGAAAAATTCTTTTTGGGTCAAAGAAATAGAGGAGCTTAGTGGAACAAAGAACGGGCCCAACTGAGTTTGTGAAGAAGACACTTGGAAGAATGTCTAATACAATTGAGAATTAATGTAATAACTCGTAATTGAAATGTAGAAAATTTAAATTGATTAAAAGCTAAAAATGGATAATAAATTTGATTGAAAGAAAGAAAAACAAAATTATGGAAAACTGGATAGTAATTGTATGATATAATTGACTGTAAAGATGTTTCAATTGTATATATGGTCTAAACTTTATGTCATCTACAATTCATAAAAGAGGAAAAAATAGAAATTGAATATTGTAAGCAAAGGATTGCAAAAGTTAACATGTGATTACATTGATTATGAATCGTATTAAGAAGGAATAGAGTTAATAGTAGTGTTTTAAACTTAGACTGGATAATGACTCAATTAAGGTAAGTGTTCGGGGTTAATGGGTTTGACTGATCCTAAAGAATCGGATGACATCAGCATGATTTTATAAATATTTTAATCTAAAAGTAAATAGATCATGCACGAAGGGTACATATAAGTACAGGTACATTATTAATATGAATAAAAAGGTTCCTTTTATCTTTCAATTTTTATTGCATTTATAATTTAATTTCATTGGATACCAAAATCAAATTTAATGTTTTTAAGCATTAAATGGAAAAGAACCTATATCAAAATTTAAATTTTTTTAAAGTTTTAAATGCACATTGATGAGCCTAAACCTAAATTCTCAATACCTATTTGTACCAAATAAAGAAATAAAGGTGCAAACTGGAATATTAAAAAGTTTTGGGAGTATTCATAATTGTTCAAAATACTTAGGGGCTAGAACGAAATAAAAAAACTATGGATCAAATGTCTAATCTTTTAAATGGATCCTCTTTTTTAAAGGAAGGACATCAACGCCATTCCTGGGTCCAGTGTTGTCGTCTTCCTCGTTTCTTCTCCAGTGGTGCATTTTTCCTATTCTTTTTGTTAATAACTTTAAATCTTTTGCTCTCTTTTCTTTATTCTCAACAAAAGTGAACATCAATTGTTATTCTGCGTATTCTTTTTTTCTCTTTACTTCTCTTCTTATTATTTTAAAGTCTTTTGTTTTCAATTATTAATCTCTCAAATTTAGGGTGCGTTTGATAAATTTAAAATTTGAAATCTGAAATTTGAAGTTTGAATCTATTAAGTTATTAAATTGTTAAGTATTAAATCTAATACATTTGAGTGTATATTACATTCAGTGATAAGTGAATAGTTTATCAATTAATTTTGAGAGTAAGTTTTGTCTGGAAAATTCAGTGCCACTTAATTAATTCAGATGTTCAATTTTTAGTTATTAAACAGTTTAAATAGGTTAAGATTCGAATTCATTAAATTGAAGTACTGAATTGGGTTATCAAATAGGGTCTTAGTGGTGGAAAGGCACAACCACGCTATGCCACTACTACTACTACAGCCGCTACAATTTCTACACTCAAAAATTGGAATCTACTATGAGAATTTGGGAGAAAATTAGGCAAGAATTGAGATTTGAAAAAATCTTTTCAATTTTTCCTGATTTCCAGTTTAACCTAAGTTTTGACTGAGTCTTAAACACCCAATTTTTTGCACTAACTCAGATCGGATGGCCTTCCAGTTTTCAGTTTGATTGGTTTAACTGGCTAGTCTAGTTTGATTTTAAAAACAAAGGCTAAAAGAGCTTAAAAGTGATTTGAGATTTGAAAAAATCTTTTCAGTTTCTCCTGATTTCCAGTTTAACCTAAGTTTTGACTGAGCTTTAAACACCCAATTTTTTGCACTAACTCAGGTCGGATGGCCTTCCAATTTTCAGTTTGACTGGTTGAACTGGCTAGTCTAGTCTGATTTGAAAAACAAAGGCTAAAAGAGCTGAAAAGTGATTGGAACAATTTAATGTTTAGGACGCTCAAACGAAGGTAAAAATTCTAAACCAAATTTTTTTGACAAAATAAAGAATTATTTGAAAAAGAAAGTGAAAGAGAGGTTGTCCACGTTAGCGCATGCATGGAAAAGTTCTTATTAATTTGAGAGCATGTCTTGATAATTTAAATGCTTGAAATTTCAGATGATTAAGGAAGTGTCAGCAAATGGTTAACTTTTAATATTTCTTGAATTTGCAACACAAAGTACAAAATAGACACAATGGCCGGATTGAGAAGATTCGGCAACTATTGTCAAGGCGTTACCATGCAGGAGGAGCATGGGCCATGGACAGGGGGTCTAATTGATGATACTAAACTAGCAATTCTCCAACTTAGTATTCATGATATTAATGGGGTTAGTAGGACTTGCAATATGTCTTCTCAATGTTTAGCTTAACAGGCAAAACCTTACGCTTCTAGTCCCTTGAATTAGTTGAAATAGTAGTATTGGTGTCATGTCTTCTGGTCTCTTCTAAGACATCTATTCGTCGTACAAGAGTTGTTTAGTGCATTTTATTTTTTTATGTGATTGGCAGGCTATTGCACGAAACGAAATTTACCTAATACGCACTCTCGGACAGCAGCGGCGGATTCTCTTGTTAGCGAACAAAAAAAAACTTACTCTTCTTCCCTGGTTCGGAGAAATGATACTTCGGGTCGTAGTATGTCCATTTTTATCATCCACATTGATTTGTGATTGAAATGCAAATACATTTCATGTATCAAAAGGGGAAAAAGAAATAGCCAATATATGTTCCAAACATTTATTACATAAATTGATGACGGTTTACATTTGGCCACAGTGACCGTCCACATTGCTCATATTATGATTGCATTTATTTGCATCATGTACTACTAATTTACAGATTTGCAAAAGCTCCTAGGTAGACGTGATCATGATAAACAAACAAGCAAATTTCACCGTAATTTTTCATGGTTCTTGAGTGGAAGCCAACCAAGAATACTGGCATTAAACTAATGGCCTTTCACATTCAGAGATAGTGAACTTTCACCTACCTCACATAAAGTTTAATAATATATTACAACCAAATTAAAAAAAAAAGTTACATGATTGCTAGGTAGACATGATCGTAATACATGAGAAAAATCTTTCTTTCTCTTTTACCAAGTCTCATGACAAAAATCAGAAAGTGGCTAAATACCAAAGCGCAGGATCATTTTTTAGTCCAGAACCACTAATAACATCGAGGTTAAATTTATATCTTTCAATTCTAAATCCCCACCTTTGGTGCACGATGATTTATGTTTATTGTATTAAAACTTAAGGAGAATTGTAGTTTTAGTCCCCAATGTATTACCCATGTGCGGAATTGATCCTCAATCTATTTCAAAAAGTAAATTTGGTCCCTAATTTATCCAATTTTGCGTAAAATTGGACAATTAACAGATTCCTTCCAATTGAGTAACGGAATTTGGCGCGTGCAATGCACTCACTGTACCAGAACGTTCAAGTGGTTCCAATTTTGCTGGCCCCTGCAACGGGGCAAAAAGGAAATAAGAAAGAAGAATTGGAAGGAGGAGGGTATATAGCAGGCGGGAGTAATCAGAGAAAAAAGAACCACACACTAAGTGTACTAATATTCAAAGCATCCATTATGAAATCTTTGCTCGACATATAAATTGAGATGAGAAGGCGGTCACCTTGCTCTCAAGAATTCTGTAACGTTGGCTTCCAGTTCCGGACCGGAGAGAGGTGAGAAGGCGATCACCTTGCTCTCTTCCAAGTTAAACACAAGAAGGAGAAGCGGCCGAAGGAGAAAGAGGAGAAGAATAATTCAAGCCAACTTTGGTCAGTCCCATCTCAGAACTCACATACCATTCTCTCTTTTTTCTTTTTTTTTTTCGGCCTTTCTTTCTTTCTTTAGTGCAATTTTCCAAGAGCCCCTGAGTTCTTCTTCTGCAACAAGCAACATTGAAGAAGAAAAAGAAAATTTAATCAAGATGGTTGAAGGGGGAGTCTCAAAAGCCGGCAGAACTGAATTCACGGAGTGCTGGAGCACAATATGGAAGACACCCTACATCATGAGATTGGCCTTATCCGCTGGAATTGGAGGTCTCCTCTTTGGTTATGACATAGGCAATCCAGAAAGCCACCCCACCCACCCCCCTCGTGCTTCATTCACAGAAGATTGCATCCCTTTTTATTCGCCTCTTGCAAGTTGCATCCCTAATTTGCTGCAGGAGTTATTTCCGGTGCCCTCCTTTACATTAGAGATGACTTCAAAGCTGTTGACGGGAAGACATGGCTCCAGGTACCACGACTTTCTTCCACTTTCCATCATCCTCTCTCAAGAATTTCTCATTGTTCAATTACTACTACTCCAGGTAAACTGTTCTTGTTCAAAAATTTTCAGGAGACAATTGTCAGCATGGCTGTTGCAGGAGCTATTCTTGGTGCTGCATTTGGCGAATGGATCAATGACAAATTCGGTCGCAAAATCTCCATTTTGGCCGCTGATATTCTGTTCTTTGTTGGAGCTATCGTTATGGCTGTTTCTCAAGCTCCTGGATGATCATTGTTGGGAGAATATTTGTTGGCTTAGGGGTTGGGATGGCATCCATGACTGAGCATCTTTACATTTCGGAAGCCTCACCCCACAGAATCAGAGGTGCTCTTGTTAGCACAAATGGTTTCTTAATTACCGGAGGCCAGTTTCTTTCCTATCTTATCAATTTGGCTTTCACCCATGTAAGAATTGGCCAACTTCTTGCTCCGTTGTTGTCCAATGCATAAAGAGAGAATCCGCTCTTTACTCGACTACATTTTTATCGCCTCAGTCTGCTTTTGCCTTTTGTCATTTGTGACTCCCCTTTGCCAAACAGGGTAAAGTTGACGAGGCCAAATCCATATTACAGAGGATTTATCCTACTGAGGAAGTTGAGGAGGAAATGCAGGCCCTGAAATCATCAGTTGATGAGGAAATGGCCCAACAAGGTTTTGTAGGAGAAGGCAGCTTGCTTTCAAAAGTAAGGCAAACCTTGAGTTATCTTGTTTTCTGGAGGGGACTATATGCTCGGATTACAGTTCAGGTGGCTCAGCAATTTGTTGGCATCAATACTGTCATGTATTATAGTCCAAGCATAAAATAGTTCGCTGGTTTTGCTTCAAACCGGACTGCTTTGGCACTGTCCCTCATCACATCTGGTCTCAACGCAATTGGGTCCATCATTAGTATGTGTTTTGTTGATAGATATGGAAGGAGAAGGCTTGTGATCACTTGGTGTGTGGTTCTTTTCTTTCTGATTCCTCCCGCCTGTTATATACCCTCATTCTACCAATTCCTCTTTCTTATTTCCTTTTTGCCCCGTTGCAGGGGACAGCAAAATTGGAACCACTTGCACGTTCTAGTACTCTGATAGCACGCGCCGCGTTCCGTTGCTCAATTGGAAGGAATCTGTCAATTGTCCAATTTTACGCAAAATTGGATAGATTAGGGATCAAACTTATTTGTTGAAATACATTGAGGACCAGTTCCATGCATGGATAATATATTGGGGACTAAAACTATAATTCTCCCTAAAACTTATCAAGAATATCATTAAGATAAAACTGAAAAGGTTGTAATTTAACCTCACCTTACCAATAACAAGTTGTATTAACTACAAGCTCGTGCAAGATGGACACCAGCAAAGTATAATACTATTTAGGGTGCGTTTGATAAAACTAAAATTTGAAAACTAAAATCTGATATTTGAAATTTGAATCCATTAATTTATTAAATTGTTAAGCATTAAATCAAATATATTTGAGTGTATATCATATTCAGTGATAAGTTATTCACTTATCACTTATTTTTTAAAGCAAATTTTGTCTAGAAAATTCAGTGACACTTAATTAATTTAAATATTTAATTTTTGATAATCAAATGCATTTTAATATATTAAGATTTAAATACATTAAGTATCAAGAAGGCGAGCTTAGCATAAATATCTTCTGTTCAATGTGACAAGCCA